TTTTTTTTTTTTTTTTTTTTTTTTAATTCTGAAAACACGATGGCGCAGACATCTCGAATTCAAACAATGGAATTTGCAACTCTCGTCTCTTTCTTTTCTATTCGGTATGTCCGCGCTAAGTTAAGAAACACAAAATTAGTCGACTGAACATGACATAAATTGTCCAACATTAATTTCGTAAAAGTATTTTGAATACACGTGAATTTTACGTAATGGCGAATCTCTGACAGTGATGATTTATTTAATTTAATATTTCAATTATAAAAATTTATGGGATAAACTATAAATTTGATTAATTTAATAATTTAAAAGTTTTTAATAAAATTATGATTTTAGTATTAATTATTAACAGACAAAATTTTATAATTTATTATGTAAATTTAAAAATTTAAATAAATTAATAATAAAATTATTTAAATTTTATAAATAATTTTTAATAAAAATAAAATTAATCATAATGATTAAACTAGCTAAATATTTATTGATTAGCGTAAGGAATCTTTGAAAGATTTAATAGCGTCTTACTTTTCAGTGCGACGTATCCTTCGCCGATGCCACTATCGACCTTCCCTTCAGGATCACAGATGCTAGAACCACCCAGTGCTTGAACCAGATTACAAACGAAAGTCAGCTTCATCGGCCAACACAGGAGCCAAGCAACGAATATCGTCACTGCTTCGTAACACTTGTCGTAAGCATTGCCGAACATGTCCCTTTAAAATTATTACGAAATATCTAAGAACGTAATTAAAAAATTTGCAAGCCGCGAGAAACTTACAATTTCTATTTAAAAATTGGACAATTTTCTGCAATCATTGAGACTAATCGTTAAATATTTTTATTGATAATTGTATTATATAAAAGTAATGTTCAAGACAATGTTGAAGTCTTCACAGAATGCACAATTTCTGGGGAAACGTACCTGCATCTTCCAGCACCGCGACTAAGTTGCTCCTCGCATCGAGCTTCGATCTTCTTCCTATATTTCGCTTCGTACGCGTCCGCGTCCGATTTGGCTTCTTCAGCTTTCATCTCGTGCTTCTCTTCGATTTCCTTGCTCCTCTTCGTGTCACCTTGCAATTCGTCCAGGTAATCGTTTTCCTCTTTCAATCGTAACATTTCATTCTCCCCCTCCACTTCTTCGACGATCGGGCTCATCAGATCCCTCACCGAAGACAGGGTCTCTTTTATCTCGCTTGCATCCGCTTTCATGGCAAGAATTGCCTTTTATTTAATAATTACACGTAATTACAAATGATTGCAATTGTAAATTAGGTAGAGATGCATGATCTTTGTGAGTTTTATTTGGAAACTGTTTTTTTTTTTTTGAATTTAATTTGATTTGAAAATCAAACTGACGCAGGATAGAAATATTAGAATTATAGTTGACACGTTATACTTGGTGGAATAATGTACCTGTTGGAATGGTTTGAACATTAAGTCGAATCGTGTCTTGGTCAGATTGTATGTCAGCTGAGTGGTACAACCGAACGTTCTCACTACTTCTTTGGCATTATATACTAAATTGAACAATGGCCCGGCAATTATGTATCCAAGGATCAGTGCTCTCAGCATACTTCGACCTGCTCGGCCAAAGAACGTTGGTATCGTTAGAATGCAAATGCATCTCACCTGTTACACCAGAAGAACAACAACATAATTTCACATCTGTCTCTCTCAGAGACAAGACGAAGAAAGAATTCTGAAAGGATTTCACAATCGCGATAAAAGACGTTAATACTTCTACTATCAACGCTACAATTAATAAAAAAAAAGAAATATTTTCCACTCAGACAGAAAACTCATTACTATTAATAGTTGACGAAGGACAAGATCCTTTTTTTCTTTTTTTTAAATGTCTCTCTAAATAACAGCGACAGAATCGAAAGAATTAATAATCACCTGAATCGACATAGCACATCCAATCGAGAGCATTGTAATTACGATACCACCGAGACACACGCTCGTATACGGGTCGAATTGTAGATCGATAATAATGCATTCGTATAGAAGAATGCCGAAAAACAGTCCAAGCAAAAAACCGATGAACGCACGCGACTTCTTATGAGTGCCTATCGGATCGAGGCAAATTGCATACAAGGTTGGGAAATTGGCTTGGAAGTGCTTGAGGAAATTCTTCTTGAATTTCTCCACTCGTAGACCGAGATTGGTGACATTCTCCATCCCAGGCATTTTTATTATACCGTGCGCGAAATTTACTCTGTTTATTATTTCTTCAGCTTGTTTGACGTGTGATCGATTTACGCAACTCATGCGAGTCCAAGGATCGTCATTTCCTTGGTTAAAGAAGACATCCTTGACACGTATTCGTCGATCGTTATGCTGCTTTCCCCTTTTCGGAATCTCTTATTAATTGTCGCAGATCTCTTATTTAAGCGAGCCTGACAGAAGAGTTGACTTGACAAATATCGAGAACTCGTATTTTGCAACCAGCGTTTACATAAGGGAATTTCTATTCGATCGTGTCTCGATTTTGAACAAATGAATCAACGTTGGCTGGTTTTACATTCTTCCGTTCGTGACTCGTATTTTGTCGCTTTCAGTCTATTAGAAAAGCGTTAACATTGGTAGATTATTAATTAATTGGTAGATTAGTAATGTCGAAAATAAGAAAATTGAAATAATATTGAAAATGATACAAAAGTAAATTAACGAAAAAGAATTATTTAATGTATTAATAACTTCATTTATCACGGAATATCGGAATATTATACGCATCTACTTTGCTCTGACAATAAAAAAAAGTTTAAAAAATTTTTTTGATTAGCATTGACGATGATCGTAATTCTGATGAAAAAACATTCAATGAATAATTTGAATAATTTTAATCGTTTCAATTTTTGATGATAAATAATTAAATATTAATTTTAATTACTCGACAATGATTTTTTACTACTGACGGAGCATAAATGGTTCGAGAAACATTCGAAACGGAAGAATAATTTGCCGATGAACATACAGAAATAAAATGTCTAATCTACGATACGTCGAAATAATACTAGGAAACACACACACATATTAACGATTCTTTACTTTATCTTCTGATAAAATCTATGTAGGCATTATAGAGAGATTTTCAAGGATATGAGAGAGTGTAATGAACAAACATGCGATTAATATTACTATCATCGTTACATCTTTTCACATCGAAAGTTACGTCCGTGAATTTGTATGAAAAGATAAATTTAGAAACTACGAAGCTCACTTCAATGAAAATTATTCCGGTTGGTTGAAATCACTTATGCATTCGTCTAATACTTACCTCGAGTGCAAAACACGTAACGAAGATCCTTGCGTCGGTAAACATTAGACACGTAGTAAATTACATAGTGGACATAGTATCAAGGTTACGTTATTAAAATTGCTAAGATCACCTTCGTAATTATACAATATAGCATGTTTCGATATCGTTCGCTCGTTTCAAGCCGGTAGAGAACGATACGATGACCGAGAGAGAGAGAGAGAGA